AAAGAACCTACAGTTCCCATCACCACTTATGTATGTATGTACAAACATATAAATTAGTCCAAATTCTAATTTTCTCTCATTTTTCTTTGTGGAAAAACAGATAAGAAAGATCAGTAAAGGAAGATATAAGTAATTAATGTTATAGTTATTCAATATACTAACTTGAATTAAATGTACTAAGAAGCAAAAACTATTAGTGTTCAGACTATCATGATGAAGCTTTTGGGTTTTTTAAATATATTTTCATTTTTATGCATAAAATCTTCATACATAGAATTCCATGATGTCATCAGGCATTAACAATCACTTACCTTAGAAACCAACTCTTTTTTTCTAGGCTTAACAGGGCTTGTATTGATGTATTGGCCTAGCATTGTGCTCTGCTAGATGCTCATTTTATAAATATTTGTCTAATCACTATTAGACATTTAAAAATATCTTTCAGCTGGGAACAGTGGCTCATGCCTGTAATTCCAGCTCTTTGAAAGGCCAAAGCAGGAAGATCACTTGAGCCCAGGAGTTTGAGACCAGCCTGGGCTACATAGGGAGAACCTGTCCCTACAAGAAATGGAAATTTAGCCAGGCATAGTGGTATGCACTTCTGGTCCCAGCCACTTGGAGGATGAGGCAGAAGGATTGCTTGAGCCTCCTAGGATGTGAAGGCTGCAGGGAGCTGTGATCACACCACTGCATTCTAGCCTGGGTGACAGAGTGAAACCCAGTCTATAAAAAGAAAAAAGCATATTTCAGTTGATTGATTTTTATTTCTGTGCCAATTGTTTAGAACCAAGAAAATATGAGTACCTTAAATTCTGTAAGTAAAGAGGAAAATTTCTTTAACATCATGAGAAATTAGGAATTAAGTAACTGCCCTTAACACTGGAAATCTTGATATGTTGAGGGAATTGACTTGTTAAAAGATAGAGGCCAGGTGTTGTAGCTCAGGCCTGTAATCCCAGCACTTTGGGAGGCCGAGGTGGGTGGATCACAAGGTCAGGAGTTCGAGACCAGGCTGAACAACATGGTGAAACCCCGTCTCTACTAAAAGTACAAAAATTAGCCAGGTGTGGTGGCACGTGCCTGTAATCCTAGCTACTCAGGAGGCTGAGGCAGGAGAACTGCTTGAACCCAGGAGGCAGAGGTTGCAGTGAGCCGAGATGGTGCCACTGTACTCCAGCCTAGGCAACAGAGTGGAAAAAAAAAAAGAAAAGAAAAGAAAAGAATAATCAGGGTGTTTACTTGAGCCAAAGACTAATTGTAATTGTACCCTTTGAAAGGATAAATTACCCTTGTGACAGGGACACAAACCAAGGTGACAACTCTATGAAATGTTCCAGAGCAGTTGTTCTAAGTCCCTTTAAGAGTCAAATATACTGAGAAATGCTTCCCAAGGAACAGGACTTATTCTACAGTGAACAGATAGATATTTTCTGGTCCAAGGGAACTTGTGGCTGACTTTTAAAAACCAGTTCTCTGCTCCTCTGTTGAGATGACCTGTTCTGACCTTAATGGTCCCCCTATCCCCTGTTTCTTTCTCATTTGTGCTGAGAACACAGCTCTCAGTGTAGTCTACCTGCAAAAACACAGTGGTGCCTTCTGTCATCGAAGGCGGCTCGTCAGCACATAGTTGTGCAATGGTTTACCTCGCACAGGCTTACAGTAATAATGGGAATGTGTGTGTTCCCAGTCCTTGCTGATGTAACAGAGACCTCGCTGTCTTCAGTTTACCTTTAAGATGACTTCAGAACCTAGCTCTTCTAGTTCTCAGATGTGAGGCTGTAGTCAAATGCAGAGAACTTTACATCTAAAATTGTATAATTTGTACTTGTCCTGAGGCTGACTTTTTACATATGGTCTGATTTCACATGGCTCTGGCACAAGTCTTGACTGAGGAGGGGAAGGGAGAGAGAAATCAGAAGTAGAGATAGACAGTACATCCATTCACTCATTTCAGAAATATTATTTGAGTGTCTGTTAACAGCACTGTGATTAACAAAGGAGCCATGGTAAGGGAGAGACAATATGAAAAAGCAATAGCAGAGTGATAGATGCTATCAAGAAAACAACTAATGGGACAGGCTTAGTCAGGGACATCCTTTCCAAGGAGTCATTAGGCTGAAGACTGATGATAACAACCCCAGGTAAAGCAGTAGGAGGAGGGTCCAGGCTTAGGAAAACTAGCAAGCTATGTATGTGTTTGTTAAAGGATTGCATGGTACTAGAAATCGAAGTTACAAATAATTCCTGTGGTTCTTACTGTCTCAGGGTCTCCCTAAATATCAAAATCAGTTCGTAAAGTCTAGTGTTATCTTATTTGAACTTCAGGGCAAATGACTAAAAGGGACAAACCTAGAATAGCAGGTTTTAATCAGTTAGCATATTTTCCACTGTAGGTATCAGAAAACTCAACTACAAGGAGATTCGATCTACAGGGTTTACTGACTTATGAAACAAGTCTGGGGTAGAGCAGTTCCGTGGTAGGTTAAGACAGTGCCCCCAAAACATTATCAAGGCCCAGGTACTCTCCGTCTTTTCAGTCTATCATCATTGGCACATTTGGGTTCTCCTCTTACAGTTATAGAGTGAACACTGCCGCTTTTGACATTGCATTTCTGACACAGTGATATCCAGTGAAAGAAGAGGGGCATTTCTTCCTTCTGTTTCTTTTCAGAGATGAGAGAATTTTAACTAGAGCACCGCCACCCTCTCACTCCCTGCCACTCCCCCATTCTCATTGGCCCAGGCTATGTCCCATGCCTTTGGCCAAGCTAATCACTCTCCAGGGGATTGAGATCATTTAAATTGGTGTACATTAATTACCCCCTGAGTTTGGGGAGGGGGATCACGTTTCTATAAGCACATTGAAGGGTGAACACCCAGCAAAATCAGGAAAAATTCAGCAAGGAAACAAAGGGGAGTGGCCAAGAGGAAAGAACGGCTGTTGGGAAGACCAGGAGCACAGGCCTCAGGAGTGCCTGGCATCGTGACTTAGGAGGGACAGGGGCAGAGTCTTTACAGGATCCTCAGAGTTTCTGCTGCATACTTAGTGGCTGTTTTGTTCCCAGCACTGGTGGGTGAAATGGTGAACCCACTGTTTAGGTACGTTCCTTAGCCTTACTTGTGCTTTCCACTGTATCAGTGAAGTGACATGAGGCACACAGTGCCTTGACACTTTGGCAGTAAAGTTTTTTTGCTTGTTTGTTTTATTTTTTTTAATATTTATTTTTTTTTAGACAGAGTCTTGCTCTGTCGCCCAGGCTGGAGTGCAGCGGTGCGACCTCGGCTCACTGCAACCTCTGCCTCCAGTGTTCAAGCAATTCTCATACCCCAGCCTCCCAAGTAGCTGGGACTACAGGCACCCACCACCACATCCAGCTAATTTTTGTATTTTTAGTAGAGATAGGGTTTCACCGTGTTGGCCAAGCTGGTCTCAAATTCCTGGCCTCAGAGGATTCACCCACCTTGGTCTCCCAAAGTGCTGGGAATACAGGCATGAGCCACCACACCCGGCCTGCAGTAAAATTTTTAAACTTAGAAATATCTTATCATGAAGTATGTAATATAAATAAGGAACTATATACAATTTATATGTATACTTTAATAAAATGAAACTCTTACCCATTTCTAGTACCTTTGAAGCCCCCATGTGACCCTCCCCAATTGCATCCACTACTCTCCCTGAGAGGTAACTGCTACCCTGAATTTCTGAGTCAATCATTCTCTTCTCTTCATGGTTTTACCATGTATGTATGCTCCCCCTCCATTTCTTTCTAAAACTTTTGCATATATCACCTAGAGAACTTGTTAAAACACAGATTGCTGGGCCCCAGCTCTGAATTTGTGATTCAGTAGGTCTGGAGTGATGCCAAAAATCTGCATTTCTAACAACTTCAGGTCATGCTAATGCTGCTGGTCCAGGGACCACACTTTGAGAACCACTGCTGTAGCAGGGGACGGGTTTGCTTTTGCCTGTTTATAAATACAAATATATCATATATATTCTTCTGTCACTTGCTTTTTTTCCACTGGAACTTTGTTTTTGAAGTTCAGCTTTGTTGATATGGGTAGCGATAGGTCAATTCATTTCCCCATTGCTTAGTATTCTGTTTCTCATTAATTTTTATCCACTGCCCTGTGAGAGAAAAGGAAGAAAAATAGGAAGCAACTTGCTTAAGGCACCAACAGAAGTGATTCTGTACCCCGCAGGCATCCAGCACCGACGACCCTTGGTTCACACAGCTCAGGTCACTGTTGCCGCCTTTGGAAGGAAAGAGGCAGTGAGATATCACCTGTCCTAAGAGCCCTGGGCTCGCCAGAAGTTCAGGAGGCTTTGGGACACCAGGCACAGCAGGACCCGCAGACCTCCCAGAGCCCTCTTGTATAAAAGAGACCTCAAATAACATTGGCCTATCCTAATCAAATCAGATACAAGGGGATGGAAGGGAAGGTAACAAACTTAATATTGATTTCAAATGGGCTAGGCACTATTGTTGAATAATGATTACAAAGCACTAGAAGACTGAATAAAAGTATGATAGAAATACGTTCACTTTCAACCTCTCAACATTCTTATGTGGTATATATTTTCCTGTCAACATTCATATGTGGTATATATTTTTTTAAAATTCGCCCAAGGTCACAAACTTAATACAAGATAGAGTCAGATTTTAAACCTAGGTCTACTTACAAATCATATCATTCTTTCATTTTATGCTGCCGCCTTGCTGAGACTAAAATGTAGGCCTTCGCCATCCTTGGCATCTGCCTACCCACTAAGGCATACTCCCCTAATGTATATGAACCTTCTCTGAAACCTGGATCTAATTAGTGTTACCTGAACCGCTTTCATGGTTCTTTCCATAATAGTTGCAATAGATGTAGCATAAAAAAGAGTGGGAGGACATGCTGACACCTTGCACTGTCTTTGTTGGACTTGAATGTTTGACTTGGATTTATATGCCTGGCGACTAACTATATTGCCTTGTGTTTTTGTCCTGCAGAGGATTTCCAAAGAAGGCCAGTAGAACTGCTAGAATAGCCTCCGATGAGGAAATTCAAGGCACAAAGGATGCTGTTATTCAAGATCTGGAACGAAAACTTCGCTTCAAGGAGGACCTCCTGAACAACGGCCAGCCGGTACTGATAGATTTGGGACCCGGACTTGGAATATTAGCTACCCACATACCTTTCTTCCTTTTTCTAAGACTTAGGCTCTTGATATTTGTCCACAACATTATTATTATTATTATTATTATTATTATTATTATTATTTTTGAGACAGGGTCACACTTCATCACCCATGCTGGAGTGCAATGGTGTTATCACAGCTCACTGCATCCTTGACCTCCCAGGCTCAAACAATCCTAAGACCCCAACCTCCTGGGTAGCTGGAACCACAGGCACATGCCACCATGCCTGGCTAATTTTTTGTTTTTGTGGAGACAGAGTCTCCCTATGTTGCCTAGGCTGGTTTCAAACTCCAGAGCTCAGGCTATCTGCCCGCCTCGGCCTCCCAAAGTGCTGGAATTACAGGCGTGAGGCATTGCACACAGCCACATTATTTTATTACCCTTGAATCTCAACATTTCTCTTAATATTAGCATTTGAATCCAGAGACAAAAGAGAAAACGAAAGGCCTTCCTTCTATTCAGTCTTCACTGCTTTCTCCTATGCATAAAACCTTTCTAAGAATGAAGAGAGTAAGTGGGAAAGAAAGGAAGAAGGAAGGGCAGATATCTGGTTGGGAGTGGAACAAATGAGCAATGCCAATGGTATTTAAAAAAAAAAAAAAAAGAAGAACACAGGGATTCCATTCTGGCTGATAGGGTTGGGGAGGGATGGAGAAGGTGTGCTTTGGAATGGTTTATATAGTATCAAAAAGAGAATTTGTTTTCTATGGTATATACTGCTTATACACACAAAAAAAAATCTAGAGAAACCATTGGGGAAGTTCTGTTCTTTTCTCTTGGACTACTACTAGACATTGATTCAGCATCTGAAAGAGTAAAGGCTGTTCCAAAATCTTATTCTGGTTTGCTAGAGCAAGACAACTAAACTGTAGGAAAAAATAATTATTTTACAGCTGCAGAACTGTACAGTACCTAAATAGATTTGGTAAAATATATAGATAAGATGTTTTCTCCACTGGATTTAAGTCTTTCCTCATCAGTTTTTTGGTTTTCTTTTTCCATCTCTTTTATTGATGCTATTCTTTTAAAATATTTTTTTCTTTTTAAAATACTATTTCCAGAATATTTTAAGGGGATGGGAAAAGCAAATCTAGGAAATAAGACATACCAGGTAAAGGAGAAGAACCTTCTGTAGCTTTATTAAGGAATTATCACTGGAAAAATTTGCCTGGCTCTTACGTACAAAAAAAAGGATCTTTTTGTATAAAATCTTCCTTTCACACACCTTTTTCAGAGTAGAAAGCTCTCTCTAATTATGTTTTCTGAGAATTTTAATTATCAAACATTGATAAGGAAAACTGTGAGAACAGACCACACTTGAATAGAAAGGTGGAGAGCAGAGGAGGGGTGCTGAGTGCTGATTTTAGTTATTAGGGTATCTTAATCTGATTAACAAAGATTAAAATTTGAATGAAGTTTTGTGTTAGTTACTCATTTCCCTGAGTATAGAAGATTTTCACAAAAGGAAAATATTTTCTCCCTGAAATAAGTGATTGCATGTGTAAATGTACATACTCTGGAATTTTTCCCTGGCTCTGTCAACTAAAGCCTTTAAAAGATTAAAATAAATACATATGGGAACTTTTTCAAGCCAGGTAAGGCATCACTCCAGTTTTTGTTTTTTTTGTTTTTTTTTTTTCTGGCTATTTATGTCAGTGTTCCTTATGGACTAAGATTCTCTTAAGGTAAGACTTCCATAAGCTATTGGTCAACCCACATTATATATATTGTATGTATATTTATATTCATCTGTTTAGCAGTGAATAACATTCACAGTAAGTTCCACAGGTATCCACATTTGAGAGCTTAAAATGACAAGTAAGGTTTCCCTTTTTAGAAAATGGGATTCTCAACCAACTTTTTCCTATTATTATATATTATTCTCTTTCTTATTTTTGGTGTTTGTAGACAAGGGCTTTTATAGCCAGATGGCATAGTGACTTAGAAACAAAACTGTGAGGTATATTTGGCTTCTAGTGGTAGCAGGTGCATTCTGGTGAAGGAATAGATATGAAATTGGTATTTCTGCTTATGAGGGACAGAGTGGAAATCACTTCAGGCCTGCCTTTGATGTGTTACAATTCTCCATGAAAAGATTAAGAAAGCTTTTTAAGAGATCAGGTATTTAAGACTCTCTTTGAAAACTGAATTCACTGATTTTTTTAATAGGTGTAAGAAAATTAATTTAATAACATAATGGACTCAGATGCTTCATGCAGCACTCAGACTCCCACCTCAGCCTCTTCTTGTCCTCTGCCCTTTCTTTATTAAGTGAAATAATTTGAACTGCAGGACTATCTGTCATTTGGCATTTGACTTGTTTCACTTCCCGGTTTCAGCTGGGATTGAGACCAGCAATTACTGGAAATTATAAATTTACCCAACATATTTTCCTGATTAGAGAGCTTCCAATCAAATTTGCATTTATATTTAGAAGTTTGGAAGTTTATCTGGAATAATTTCTGTACATTTTTTAGATTCTGCCTTACCAATTATTCTCTTATTTCTAATCAAATACTTGCTTATAAAATGCCCCTGATGAGGCAGATGGTGTCTGAAAGTTCCTTCCAGACCTGTAAGACTAAGGCACTTTAGAATGAGTATTCAAGAGCAGGTATCACCCCAGTAGTCACACAAAAATGCTGGCATTTCTTATGTATAAGAATGGCATAGGTAAAATGGTTTGGGCCAATTCCAAAGTGCTAGCTGTGAGATGCAAGAACACTACCACTTTCTTTGCCTGATGGGCAAGCAGTCTGCTTCTGAGTCAAGTCAACCGAGCCCGTTAGCTTTGGCAAGTGTCTTGCATAATCCTGTTGCTAATTCAGCCATGCACCTCATTCTCTGTGGATTATAATAATTGCCTCCAGTCCCCTACATTACACAGCAGCCTGGGAAATGCTCTTAGAGGTGAGAACCCCATCATTGCCAGCTCATCCAAATCTTCCTTTAGCTAACGTTTACTGAGCACATACTGTTAAATGACTGATAGAATTATTTCCATTAGTGATACCCGTTCTTTTCTTTTTAGTCAGTTTATTCTCCTTTGAGTATCATTCTCTTTTTTCTCTCAGTCAGTATTAGAGATGACTTGGCTGTTCTGAAGCTGATGGACGGCTATAAAAATAACATTTCTTTTCAATTGTATTTTGCTGTTTTAATATCTTTTTTTCTATGTTTTTCATTAAGGACATGACAAATCTTTTCTGTGTGGTTTCTGCCTTACCGCTTATGGCTCACTTTAAATTTGTGCTGTACCAATTGGTGGCTCTCTGGATTAGGCCATTAGTACAAGAAAGGGAGGTAAAAAGGTAGAACAGCTGAAGCAAGAAAAAGAAAATATGCAGGTATCTGAAGCTGGAGAGAGAACAGTTACAGAAAATCATTAAAATGTGTTGTTTTTTACTCTTTTTCATAGGGCAATACATATTTGTGATTTTGCTAATTTTGTATTTTTTGGGACTTACTTTGTTTAGAGGTTAACATACGAAGAAAGAATGGCTCGCCGACTACTAGGTGCTGACAGTGCAACTGTCTTTAATATTCAGGAGCCAGAAGAGGAAACAGCTAATCAGGTACACCATGTTGCTCTGGACTTCTTAGGGTAACATTTATTATGTCCCCTTTTTCCATCTTCCTTATGGATACTGTTTTTGGGATTCATTCTGTGGAAAGTAGAGGGCAAGTCACAGAAAAGCAGTATTAATATCATCAGTCAACCTCACAGCTAATTTTTATTGAGCACATACTATGTTAAGTGACTGACAGAATTCCTTCCATCAGTGATGCCTGTTCTTTTTATCTTCTTCTTGATTATTCTCCTTTCCAGTACCTTTCCATTTTCCTATCCTATGTTTTTTGCAAAATAATTTTGTGTGGAGAAACACATTTTCACTGACATTGTTTGAAATAACTAGTGAATACTGCCCATTAGAGTTGGCCCTTGAACAACACGGGAGTTAGGGGGACCAATCCCATGCACTGTTAAAAACCCACATATGGCCAGGTGCAGTGGCTCATGCCTGTAATTGAAGCACTTTGGGAGGCTGAGGCAGGCGGATCACAAGGTCAGGAGATGGAGACCATCCTGGCCAACATGGTGAAACCCCGTCTCTACTAAAAATACAAAACTTAGCCGGGTGTGGTGGCGCATGCGTGTAGTCCCAGCTACTCAGGAGGCTGAGGCAGAATTGCTTAAACCCGGGAGGTGGAGATTTCAGTGAGCTGAGATTGTGCCACTGCACTCCAACCTGGTGGTACAGTGAGACTTTATCTCCAAAAACAAAAAAAAAAACACATACAACTTTTGACTCTTCAAAAACTTAACTAATAGCCTACTGTTGACTGGAAGCCTTACTGATAACAAAGAGTTTATTAACACATATTCTGTATGTTATATGTATTATAGACTGTACTTTTAAGTAAGCTAGAAAAAAGAAATGTTATGAAGAACATCTTAAGGAATAGAAATTACATTTACAATTCATTAATGGAAGGTGGGTCATCATAAAGGTCTTCATCCTCATCATCTTAAAGTAGTCTGAAGAGGAGGAAGAAGACGAGGGGTTGGTCTTGCTTGTCTCAGGGGTTGCAGAAGAGGAAGAAAATCCATATATAAGTGGACCCATGCAGTTCAAACCTGTGTTGTTCAAAGGTCAACTGTTTAACCTTAATATCTAGTCAAAATAAAACAGAAAATATTATCTGTTTATCTTCTTTCACATATATACAGATTCTCTTTAACTTAGTATGGGGTTATGTCCTGATAAACCCATTGTAAGTTGGAAATATTGTAAGTTGAAAGTGCATTTAAGGCCGGGCGCAGTGGCTCACGCCTGTAATCCCAGCACTTTGGGAGGCCAAGGCGGGTGGATTACCTGAGGTCAGGAGTTCGTGACCAGCCTGACCAACATGGTGAAACCCTGTCTCTACTAAAAATACAAAAATTAGCCAGGTGTGGTGGTGTGCGCCTATAGTCCCAGCTACGTGGAAGGCTGAGACACAGGAATCGCTTGAACCCGGGAGGCAGAGGTTGCAGTGAGCCAAGATCGTGCCATTGCACTCCAGCCAGGTGACAGAGCGAGACTCCATCTCAAAAAAAAAAAAAAAAGTGCATTTAATACACCTAACCTACTGAACATCATAGGTTAGCCTAGTCTATTTTAAATGTGCTCACAACACTTACATTAGCTTACAGTTGGGCAAAATCATCTAACACAAAGCCTATTTAAAATAAAGTATTGAATATCTCATGTGATTTATGGAGTACTGTACCGAAAGTGAAAAGCAGAATGGTTGTGTGAGTACTCACAGTACGTTACTACCAAATGCTTATTGCTAGCACAAAAGTTTCACTTAACGAAAATTGGAAATCTTGCTGCATTCTTATTATTTCTATTATTAGTCTTCACATGTTTTTTTCTACCATTACAGGACATTGGTTCTCCTCATGCTTCTGTAGGGAGTCCTCTGGATGGTCAAAAGGTTAAGCTTTTCACCTTTCTTCTTCCAGTCTTTCACTGTGTCTGTTTTCTTCTGTTCTTCCTGTTTTACGTGTGTTTCTATCTTTTCTGTCATATATTAATTATAAATGCTATGACCAGTGTCTATTTCATTTAATATCAGATACGCAAAATTACTGCAACATGAGTTTTCTTGTCATGTATTTACCAGCTTGAATTTATTTATTATTTATTTATTTATTTATTTATTTATTTATTTTTGAGATGGAGTTTTGCTCTTGTTGCCCAGGCTGAAGTGCAATGGTGTGATCTCGGCTCACTGCAACCTCTGCCTCCTGGGTTCAAGCGATTCTCCTGCCTCGGCCTCCCCAGTAGCTGGGATTACAGGTGCACACCAATATGCCTGGCTAATTTTGTATTTTTAGCAGAGATGGGGTTTCACCATGTTGGTCAGGCTGGTCTCGAACTTCTGACCTCAGGTGATCCAACCGCCTTGGCTTCCCAAAGTGCTGGGAATACAGGCATGAGCCACAATGCCTGGCCTCCGACTTGAATTTAATTCTGTCATTAGTGGATACTCTGAACATTAAAGCAAGAAAAGTTTTTCATTTGTTATACCTTTCTATGGGGAAAAAATGTGCTAATTCTTCAAGTGATTAATTTGATAGCAATTAGATGAAGCAAAACAACTTGTGGTATAATTCTTGCAGTTTTATTCATACTGTTGTACTTCTTCCCTCAAACCAACAAACTGTTTTTTAAACACTGAGTAACTTCTTTAAGAGGAAACATCGTTAAAGTCATCTTTCATTTAATATTAAATAGGGAATGTTTTACGTAGACTGTCTTGTCTTCATTGCACTTTTTCTTTTTTGTTTTGGAGACAGGGTCTCACTCTTTTGCCCAGGCTTGAGTGCAGTGGCACAATCACGGCCCACTGCAACCTCAACTTCCCAGGCTCAAGCGGTCCTCCCACCTCAGTCTCCCAAGTTGCTGGGACAACAGGCATGTACCACCATGCCCAGCTTTTTTTTTTTTTTTTTAATTTTTTGTAGAGATGGGGTCTCACTTTGTTGCCCAAGCTGGTCTCAAACTCCTGGCCTGAAGCAGTCCTCCCACCTTGGCCTTCCAAAGTTTTGGGAATTATAGGCATGAGCCACTGTACCTGGCCTTTATTGCACTTTATAGGCAAGGAAATTGTACGATCCACCTTCATCACCATAGGAATGTTGATGGATTGTTTGCTTTTGTGTTTTAGGCAAATTTTGACTAGACTGTCCTATTTTTTCTTCTAAAGATGGTGGGTTCCTAGCAGCTGCAGAGCTGAGGAGGAGGCCCTTGCAAGGCAGGGATTGTTATAGGTGAAAAAAACAAAACAAAACAAAACAAAACATGGTACCATTTTTTCCATTATTCTTTTGCTAAAATTGTATTAATATGGCAGCTGTTTGCCACATGTACTGTTAGCCTTCTGGAGAGATGCACCACCCTGCATCAGCTTTTACCCTACAGAAGGAAATCAGCGTTCCATTATATTTTATTGTTATCAACAGTTTAGGAATACATAGCTTTGCTTTTGCCTTTTTCTTTCCTTCCCCTTCTTTGCCCTTGCCTGAGAGAAAAGAAGGAAAAAAAATTGATCTTTCTTCCCCCTCTCTTTTTGGATGATAGGACTTGAAGACAATCTGCAATACCATATAAACTCACTTCCAGATGTTTTTTGTTTCATATGCAGTTGAATTGGGCTCAGACTGTGTTTTTAAGCTCTATGGTAAAAATACCACTGTCTTCTAGGTCCTTATTGGGGGGCAGGGATAGACTTGACACTTTGTGAGAAGGGATTGAGTCTGCTAACTTAAACTTTCCTTGATACAGGAATACAAAGTCTCCAGCTGTGAACAGAGACTCATCAGTGAAATAGAGTATAGGCTAGAAAGGTCTCCTGTGGATGAATCAGGTGATGAAGTTCAGTATGGAGATGTGTCTGTGGAAAATGGAATGGCACCATTCTTTGAGATGAAGCTGAAACATTACAAGATCTTTGAGGGAATGCCAGTAACTTTCACATGTAGAGTGGCTGGAAATCCAAAGCCAAAGGTGAGCTGGGAACATGGCTTTTTAAGAGTCATTCTCTGAGGAAAGGTTTAGCTTCCAAAATATAGCATGCTGGTAGGAGACAAGAGATACAAATGATCTTTCTCAATACCCACGATATAAAGGGTTTTAAATATTCTGAAGTTCTGGGCCATCTTCAGGAGGCATTAGAAACCAAAAAAGGTGGTGGGGGAGTGGAGTTTGGGTTTGAAGAATAGAGTACAGAATAACTAACAGGGAGCTCTTCACACACCTATATCATTTATTCCTCATTGTTACTACCAAATCGCAAATAACTAAACTGAGTTCTGTGAGGTGAGTTTCCAAGGTTAGAGAGCTGGTGAGTGGCCAAGCCTGCATATGAACCCAGTGCTCTGTACCATACAGAGAAGTAATGCTAACCACTGGTTGTGATAACTTACAGTCTTTAATCAAAACACCAAGGCTGCTATTAATATTTACAGAGGGAGGTGGGGTGAGGAATATTGTTTAGAACGGATAATGACAAATTCTAATACCATGCAGGACTAGGATGACCTGGATGGGAGCCCTCCATGCAAACATATGGAAATGCTGGATAAGAGCTGCCCTCTCTTTAAAGGAAGGCCTTAGAATCCCTGTTTACTAGCCCAGCAAGGCGATAAACAGGAGTACACTTTTCCCTAGAACTTGAGTGAAAAGAATAAAGAAGGCAAAAAATTAAAACCTCTAAACTACACTATCATATGATAGGGAGCCAAAAGCTGAGAAATGTGAAATTTAGTGCTGGATGATTAAAATTCTTAGAAGCAAGCAAAAAATTGCCTTATATAAAGGTAATAATATGTGAAGAAATAACCATGAGGACAGTTGTGTTAGGCCATTTTTGCATAAAGGGATTCCTGAGACTGGGTAATTCATAAAGGAAATAGGTTTTATTGGCCAAGCATGGTGCCTCACACCTTTAATCCCAGCATTTTGTGAGGCTGAGATGGGTGGTCAGGAGTTTGAGACCAGCCTGGCCAACATGGTGAAACCCCATCTCTACTGAAAATACAAAAATTAGCTGGGCATGGCGGTGGGCGCCTATAATCTCAGCTACTCAGCACTGACCGAGATCATGCCATTGCACTCCAGCTCAGGGCGACGACAATGAGACTCCGTCTCAAAAAAAAAAAAAAAAAAGGTTTTATTGGCTCACAGTTCTGCATGGTATACAGGTATAGTACTGGAATCTGCTCCTGGTGAGGCCTTAGGAAGCTTACAATCATGGCGAAGGCGAAGGTGGAAAAGGTGAATCACACAGCAAGAGTAGGAGCAAGAGAGAGAAGTGGTGGAGGTCCCAGACTTTTAAACAACCAGATCTCATGTGAACTAACTGAGCAAGAACTTACTTATCACCAAGGGGATGGTGCTAAACTATTCATGAGGGATCCACCTCCATGATCCAGTCACCTCCTGCCAGGCCCCACCTCCAACACTGGGAATCCCATTTCAGCATGAGATTTGGAGGGGACAGACATCCAAACCATAGTAAGAGTCAATAGTACAAGAAACAGAAAAACAGAAGGCCAAGTATTGCACGATATTGAACAATCTTAAGTAGCCTCTAAAATAACTTTAAAATGATTGAAACAATTTTAAAAAGAATGGAAACTATAATGAAAGAACAAGAATACAAATTTATAAAATAAGCATAGAGCAATGTACTCATTGAAATAAAAAGCTTAATAGTGGCATAAAATGAAAGAAGGAAAAGTGATAAAAAAATATACATACCTGACACTTTTAGGTGTTAATTTCCAATAGCTCCATGCATTGTTTTATTTTTCCACTATGGCAGGTTTTACCATCATATTCTTTTCTTAAAACTGACATGCAACGCCAAAGTCAAAGATCAAAGAAAAAAGCCTTGAATTTTCAAACCCTATATACTTTCTAATAAAATGGGATTTTTAAAATAAACTCCATTGTTGTAGAAAACTTTTTACAATATTCTTGGCATAATTTACGTTAACAGCTGTGTATTCACAACATGTTATCAAAGGCATGTATTAAATTTGTAGCTTATGAATGAAATTCAACAAGGAATTATATCTTGAACTTCCAAGATATTCACAAAAAGATTCTACATTATTTTCAAAACTTACACAAGACTTAAGATCACTGATCAAGTTCTAAGATTATTGATTCTTATAGAATACTACATTAACTTGAAAGATGGGCTTTTGTTTTTAATATAACTGTATTTTCTTTCTAATATAAATTTAAATGTTTCACAGCTAACTTCATTGTTTAAACTTTTTATTAAACGTTACTCTTTCATCCCTCCTTCCTGTCCCTCAACCTTCATCCTCCTTCCCATTCTTTTCTTCCCTCTCTCATTTATTAAAGGTCTACTTTGGCATATGCCATATAAATTACATTAGGATTGTTAAAGTATGGAATATTCATGTTTAAAGAAATACATGTTTTTTAGGCTTATGTTTTAAAAATATTTTATTCCTCCCTTGACATGCTTGTTCTAGTCGAGCCATAGGAAGATTGAAAATAATTTCTAATTTACCCTATTCTCATTCTTGTGCCCTCCCGAATTTCTCCCTGCATTAGTAGGCTTGGTAAAATTTTGGAAATATTTCTTAGATCTTATTTGAAAGTTATATGCCAAGTATAATGGAGGTGAAAAAATATGATTAAAGAAATAACTCAAGAACTGGCATTGTGGCAAGAATGCAAAAGGAAGAAATTGTATACTTATTACTGCTTCTTTTTTCCATCAGAAATAGTCAACCATAGCCAGGCGCGGTGGCTCATGCCTGGAATCCCAGCCCTTTGGGAGGCTGAGGCAGGCACATCTCTTGAGGTCAGGAGTTTGAGAACAGCCTGGCCAACATTGTGAAACCCCATCTCTACTAAAAATACAAACCATTAGCTGAGCATGGTGGCATACACCTGTAATCCCAGCTACTCAGGAGGCTGAGGCAAGAGAATCACTTGAACCCAGGAAGTGGAAATTGCAGTGAGCCAAGATCACGCCACTGCACTCTTTAGCCTGGGTGACAGAGCTAGACTCGTCTTAAAGGAAAAAAAAAAAAGAAAAAGAAAGCATCAACTACTAAAAAGTAAAATAATTATGAAGTATGATACTTTACATAATTTAAGTTTTAGAACTGAAAGTTATTAGTCTAGTTGATGATTACTTTTTAGATTCTAGAGTTTAATACATAATATAGTTTCTGTAAATTTGGAGCTATCTGAAAAATGTGAGTTTGAAAAGTTAGAGCAGTCATATCCTGATAATTCATGCATTTATTTAGTGCTATATATTTCTAGTCTTTTCCTTTCTTAGGATGGAGGTTTCAAAAAGATTTTTCAGATTCAAATACTTTGACAGACAGTTGAATTTGAATGCCAGTTTATGTTACCAATTTACATACTGATTTACATTAAGGAAGAAGTTTGTTTTAACAACTAAAGGGTCTAAAGTATATTTCTTTTGTTGGGAATCAGTTAGGAATACTTTTGGCTGCAAGGAACAAAAAATGACAACAAAGAACTTGCTGTGGCTTAAAAAAGGAAAGGTTTATTTGCTTATCTAATAAGTCTGGAGGTGGGGTGATGTAGCTATTAATTCAGCATCTCAGTCATGTTAGGGCTGTTGGCACTGTGATTCATTATGATGAGCCTATCTTTCAACTGTGTTGTCCCACTAAATCAAAAATAATAATGAACTTAGCCAGGCATGGTGGCTCACACCTGTAATCCCAGCCACTCTGGAGGCTGAGGCATGAGAATTGTTTGAACCTGGGAAGCGGAGGTTACAGTGAGCCAGGATTGCACCACTGCACTTTGCACTCCAGCCTGGGGCGCCCTGTCTCCAAAACAAAACAAAACCTCAGAACTCAGACATCCATGGACAATTGGTTTTGTTTAAAAGTGAGGGAAGGAAGGAGGACCTTTGGACTACTTTAAAATATTGTATTTAGTCAAAATTTACTTTTATTTTTCACATTTTTTTCTTTTGAGACAGGGCCTCAGTAACCTAGGCTGGAATGCAGTGGCATGATCACAGCTCACTGCAGCCTTAACCTCCTGGGCTCAAACAATCCTCCTGACTCAGCCTCCCAAATAACTAAGACTATAGGCATGCACCACCACACCTAGATTATTTTTTTTTTAATTTTTTGTAGAGACAGGGTCTTACTATGTTGCCCAGGCTGGTCTTGAATTCCTGGGTTTGAGCAATGCTCCTCAGCCTCCCAAAGTGCTGGGATTATAGGTAGGCATGAGCCACTGTACCTGGCCCACATTTAATTTTTCAACCGAAGTTATATATCTGAAAATTATTATACTTTTCAATACTACTGTGTTTTCTTTAACATAATGGGGATAGGTGACATTTAACCTTTGTTCATATGCTTACTGGCCCAGAAATGAAGCAATAGTGTTCCACCCATCACCAACCCTTAGTTATTACCTCCCTCCCTACCAACTTCTTTTATTTGTCAAACACAATTCAGTGAAATGGTTAGAGTTTGGGGTCTGCTTTTGTTCTCCAAAACAACCTTTTTACTTTTATTTTATAAACAATACATTTTAATTGCTGGTACATTTGAAAAAAGAAAGAAGCAAAAAGAAAAATGGCCTGTAATGCCACTTCATAGAAATAGTCATTGCCAAAATTCAATATATCCCTTCATATAAATAATATATGAATGTAAGTGCCACATTTTTAAAAACAAAAGGAAGGTATATAATTTTAAAACTCCAATAGAATTTAAATTTTTACCTGCTTTTTTTCACTGAAAAATCAGTTTCTTATTCAGGTATTTGGTTTAACGTTTTAACATGAAAACTCAGATCAGCTCTGCAAACCACACTGTTACTGCTTTCAGTTCTCCAAATAGAGTAGGAATACACAAACTCTTAATCTTTAATCTTTGTTTCTATTCCCAGATCTACTGGTTTAAAGATGGGAAGCAGATCTCTCCAAAGAGTGATCACTACACCATTCAAAGAGATCTCGATGGGACCTGCTCCCTCTATACCACAGCCTCCACCCTAGATGACGATGGGAATTATACAATTATGGCTGCAAACCCTCAGGTAAAGAAGGGTATAATTCTGGGCTCAGTTCTGTGTATAGTGCTTACAGGCATTTGATTGGACAAAGGAACTATTTAAAAGGTGAAGTTAAGAAGTTTCTTTGATTTATGAAACTATTTTTCCAAATTCTGCATCCATCTTGGTTTCAGAGGATAGAAGAATTCTTTGTTTCATGAATATTTATTTATTCCATCAGATGTTGTTCTATAGGAATGATTATGGTGCAGATGTTCATTCCTTCCACAAATATTAAGGGTCTAATATGTACACACTTTCTATGTGGGTGATGGGGTTGCGTGGTAGACTGGAGAAAGTCCTATGGTTTAAAAAAAAAAGCAATTAACAAATACATAATATAAATTTACATGAAGTTATATTACTTTACATAAATAATATAAAATTACATGAAGAAAATAAAGGAGAAAAAGAGAGTGAGTGGCATACATAGGCTGTATAAGAAAAACTCAACAAAGTAAAATATTTTAAAAGAAACATCAGTGGGATTTAATGTGCAAATGTAGACAAATGATAATTTTGTTAGCATTCAGGTTTATCAGTTTTCATCAAAATGTTTTCTCTTGTATTTGCCTTTAACTTAGGGTCAAAAAATCAGTTGCCTTCTTAGAATTTAATAGGAGGCTGCAGGTATCGTGTTGCCAGTTCAAGCCTGCAAATTCTTTTTTATTATGTTACACATTTTAGTCACTATGCTGGATATAGGGGATACAAAAATGAGTAAGAAGTTATTTTGTACCTTCAGAGCTCAATGTATGACAAGTAGTTTTACTAAGTCTGTAAAAGTCGTATAAATAATACACTTTTAAAAAGGAAAAAAAAGGCATGGTAAAACGAACAGTTTTCTCTAGAAGTCATCTTTTTAGACTCTCTGATCTATTTATATCATTCCATATTATTTCTTTTGAAGAAAATATTTAGCATTAGAAACTATGTAAATAATTTTAATGATGCTACAAACTTTTAATTAAAGTTTCTGGCCCGGGTGCAGTGGCTCACACCTGTAATCCCAGCACTTTGGGAGGCTGAGACAGGTGGATTGCTTCAGCCCAGGAGTTTGAGACCACCCTGGCCAACATAGTAAAACCCTGTCTCTACTAAAAATACAAAAATTAGCCAGGTGTGGTGGTATGCACCTGTAATCCAAGCTACTCAGGAGGTTGAGGCACGAGAATCACTTGAACCTGGGATGCAGAGGTTTCAGTGAGGTGAGATCATGCCACTGCACTCCAGCCTGGGTGACAGAGTGAGACTCTGTTTCAAATAAATAAAGTTTGTTCAAAGTTTATTATATTCTGATATTCCATGGTCATATAAATATATTTTTCTGCAATAATATTAAGATCAGAATGAAAACAAATTATCCAGCTAATCAGGTTGTGATAGAGCACAGCAAACTCTTCACTGTTAATGAAAAGTTTCTATATTAATGCACATTCTTGAAGTTCTAAACTTTTTAATCAATGAACACATGACCATCACCCTGAAAAAGTCTAAATCACTATTATGAAGTTGCATTTTAATGTTTCTGTTTATATTTGATATATATGAAGAAACAAAAGTGGAACTTGCTTTTTTTTTATTTTTTTTGAGACGGACTCTTGCTCTGTTGCCCAGGCTGGAGTGCAGTGGTGTGATCTCGGCTAACTGCAATCTCCACCTCCTGGGTTCAAGCAATTCTTCTGCCTCAGCAGCACCACACCCAGCTAATTTTTTATATTTTTAGTAGAGACGGGATTTCACCTCAGGTGATCAACCTGCCTTGGCCTCTTTTTTCCTTAGTATATTTTCAGTGCATTTCCTTGACATTAACAAATTCTAGCTTTTAGTTTAGTTTTTTGCCTGTTGAAGAAAATGGTGGAAAACTGACAAAATCCAAAATTTTTCTTCGTGTTGGGTCGTTTATTCCTCTTTTGCCCTAGAAAGGCTGGGATATATTATGGGATGGAATTATCTGTAGTCCTTAAGTATTTCCAACACTGGGACCCTGCTATTAATTTCAAGGCATTTTTTTTAGCATGTTATAAACTGTTATTGGAATAAGTCGTTTTATAGAACAAAAGAATATAAACGTAAAACTGCAATTGTGAGTCTGCTTAGTGTCTTCCTCAAATTATAGTAATGCATTTTTACATGTGGAAAAGTTCTCAGTGGGGAAGGACTGACTAAGTGGCCAATGGCAGTGTGCAGAGTTTAAGACAGCAGGCCAGCCTCGGGGGTCAGTAGTCTCCAATCATTTAAACTCTCTTGACAAATTATTATGAAGTCACTAGATGAAGGTGAGCTGCTGAAGATCTCCCTTGGATCATTCCATATTACATACATATAACATCACATTGTACCCCACAAATATATACAACTATAATTTGTCAATTAGAATAAAAAATAAATTTTTATTTACTTACATAGAGACAAGGTCTTCTTCCTCAGTCACCCAGGCTGGAGTACAGTGGCATGATCATGGCTCACTGCAACTTAGAAGTCTTGGACTCAAGCAGTCCTCCCACCTCAGCCTCCCAAAGCACTGCCATTAGCCAAAAATAAACTTTTAGAAAATAAATGTGATCTTACCCAAAGCCCAATATATAATGCCCCAAAAAAAAAAAAGAAAACCTTGTAAACATAGGGAAAAAAGGAAAGGAAGGAAATAAAACAGAAATAGTACTACACACGCCAAGATTGTAGGGCAACACTGATGATACCAAAAAACCTAGGATGAGGCCGACAGGCCGTGCAGTACAGGGGTTACAAGCATGAACTTTGGCATCAGGCCGATCTGAGCTGGAATTCTAGCTCTTCCACTCACTACCTGTGTGACCTTAGCAAGTCACTTAACTTCTCTGCCTGTTTCCTCCTTCGTAAAATGAGAATAATAGTAATACAGATTTAAATAGTACATGTAAAAAGCATTCAGTTTACCTGGCACATAGTATAGTTTCAGTAAATGCTACTTATTGTCATTATTTTCATTCAGAGACAGTAACTACCCCATCTTAAAGCAACAGGCCTACAACAGAAGCCTGTGGAACCAGATCAGTAAAGGATCAGTTCCATGTCTAGGTACTCCGTTCCCACAGTACTGTCAGAAAGTAAGCAAGTCAATTTGGGATGGAATTTCTACCCAGTATGTTGTTGGTGTGTGGTCTTCTGACCTCCTGGCTTTTCCATTTTATCACCCCCATGGGAAAGAACTTAGGCAGCAGATGTGGCTGTGCCACAACTGCCACAGCTGTGGGCTTGGGTGGAGGAGCTGTGAGCTAGAGGACGGCCACACCCATAGCACAGCTGACATCAGCCACACATGAAGCTGGGAAGCTGCTCTCTGCTCTCAGCACCCTCAGGCAGGGCCAAGAGAAGCCCCAAAAGAGAGTGATCACTGCCCTCATTCCAGGCCCCAGTAATTCACTGCTTTACAAATCCCAGGCTGAGCCCCATGGTTAACCCTCTCTGGTTCTTTGCTCTACCCTTTGGAGAGAAGACAAAGCAATGAGAAGTGGACTAGACCAGCCCTCCTAACAGAATATCCTATCCAACCTGTGATTTCAGCCAAAGGTAAAATAACTACTCTGGGTCTATCAAAAGGAGCAAAAAAGCAAAGATTCAAAGAACCCGCGCATCACAGTAACCAGACCAGTTCCTAACACTACCTATTAAGTATTCCAACCGACTCCAAAGATCAGTTGACACTCCCAACATCTTAATTAAGGGGAAGGGCTAAGAATCTTCTTTACCTAAATAACCCAAGACAGGCAAAAGGAAGGGAAACTCATGAAGTGAGTCTGAGTCTAGGCCTCAGTGTGTAGACATGTGTATGTCCCATTGAAATTGTTGTGAGAGAATTTCGATATTTATGGCACTTCGCAGTAGTAGTATTTGTTCCAAGTTTCTGAGCATGTTGCCTGGTTGATTTTAATTCCAAGAGTAAAACCCCTCTTTTCTGTCTTGGGGTCTTTAGTAACTGGTATGTCCAAATATGGCAGATAGAAGTTCTGTGAGTCATCACTTAAAAATTGGAGTGAACTTTACTTCCCATTAGAAAAACAAAGTGGCATTTAAACCATGACCAGTGACAGACCATTTTTCTACCTAACTCTTGGTTAAAGTTACCATTTGTTGCTATAGGGATGCCATTCTGGAAATGTTTAACACTGTTAGAATCTCAACTTTACAACATCTATTACCATATATTAAAACATTTTGTTCTTGTAATTTATGAATTAAGACATGAGTTGAAATAGTCATGTCATAAAAGGTGGTAAAAAAAAATTCAAAATCGCTAAATCTTTCAAGATATAGTAATCCCAAAAGCATAAAGTGTAGTTGACAGAAAACTGAAGTTGACTCCTTACTTCCTTAATGCCCTTTAGTTACCTTAAATTTTGAAATGTTAAAGCTATTTGGGTTTAGAAAAAAAAAGTATTTAAGTTTGAAAGGGAGAATACATGTATGTTTTCTAGTATACTGTAGCCCAGATGATGTGAAATGACCAAGGAAAAGAGGAAGAGTAGAGTGGAAAAATTAGTTCAGTAATGAAACACAGACGGTAGAGCTCTCCTGAGCAGTGGAAAATAATTACAGCAAGCAGCCAAGAGAAGAGTGAGAACCAAGGAGGGAGGAAAATATTTAAGTTCAGCAGAATATTTATAGAATATGATATTTTTCCACCTGGGTTAATCTTTTGGGAATAAGAAAAACATTAGATATTGTTGACTGCATCCAAATTCTACTTGGGATAGAACACACAAACATATACTGGGCTGTATGTCACACTTGATGTGTGTAGCTCAAGCAATTCAGAAGAGACCAACGCAATCACATAGTTTAGCAAAATAATGAGTGATTGTGCAGTTACACCAAACAGAATGCCAAAATGAGGATCACAAATACAGTTTATTTTAGACTCTAATCCTATCTTTAAGAACAACTACATCTAAACACGAATGTTTTACTTTGTTTTGTTGTGTTGCTAAGTTACTTTGTATCGCACTTGGATTTTGGAATGGGTATTCTGCAGTTTGATGTTTCCTCAAACTGCATTATGTATACAAGTGGCAAGCTTTTATGAAGACCTGTGTGCCACAAGTTAAATTTCATAAACTATGAAATATAAATGCTATTTCCATATTATATAAATAATTGGCCTTGCACAAGGTATGAAATAATGTTTACAATCTGGATGTTTAATACAGAATCACTTTAAAAATTCAAACTTATTTGTAATGTAAGTTTTAAACTCTGTGGATTTGTTTGGAATAGAAAAGTAACACACAACTGAGTTAAATATAAAATGTTAGTTTGTTGCTTGTGTTTTGTTTTAGCATTATAAGGTTTCCTGGCTCATTTCAAGCTTCACTTTAAACATTCCCTTCCATTATTCTTACGTTAATAGTAAAGCAGATAGAAATGAGAAAATTAATAAAAGCAAATGCAACAGCATTAATGTGCATCAGAGCCTACTATGATTACCAGGGTTATAGGCATATTATTATTATTAAAATCACTTATTGCTAATTCTGTATGATCTTTGTCAAAAACAGTATGTTCAGACTTAAAAACCTGAACTTTCTATTATGCACATTGAAGACATCTTTTTAAAAAAGCTTCACTGAACCCTGGTTTTTTTTTCTTTCCCAAACAAAAACGACAAAATTATACAACTTCGTAGTTTGGATGCTCTCTAAATGCTCCTGGTTATGTATTGGTTAGTAATATATTTAGCCAATAACACTGTATAAATCAAACTAATAATTCTGCCTCCCGAAGACCACACCTTCCCCTTTTATGTTCAGAAGTGAAGGCTGGTATCAGAATAGAAAGATTACAAATGGTAACTATTCCTTTTTCTTAAATTTGGGAAGTTAAGGAAATATTCTGTGGCAATATTTGTATATATGGTTTTAAGCAGTAGCAGCGAAAACCTTGAAAACAGTGTAGAAATGTGTGACCTTTCCAGAGTAGTATGCCAACCTGTTTTGTTTGTTTGTTTGTTTTTGGAGAGGGGAGGAAGAGGCAGGCTAAGCATATCAAGGATCTGTTTAGAGTTGAATAGGGCATATTTCCTCCTCCACATCAAATGCAGCCATCACACTAACAAGCACATTTCAGTATGATTGTGCTTAGCACCTTTCAAGCACCAGCAGAAGTTAAAAAGGTTAATCTGCTTCCCACATAGTCTGCCTCCTATGCCAAAGGTATTTTGTTTTTCCTTTGGAGTAAATTACATTCTAATACCAAGAAAAATAAAATCCCATTACATAAACAATTCTAAAGGATGCCTCAAAACTGGTTATTATAATTATATCCATAGTGAGTGCTACAATAATTTAACATTTTGAGCACTGGCTTCATGCAAAACACAATGCTGCCAGGTGCTTTACAAGTATTAATGCCTTTAATCTTCATAAGAAACCATTAGGTATTAACTATACAGTCCTATTTTACAGAGAAGGAAACTTAGAAAGATTAAGTTACCTACCTAAAGTCACTCGCCTGTAAGGGACAGCAGAACTGGTTTACAAACTTAGACTGATTCCAGAGCCACTGAGTGCCATACAAAGGTATTTGAGGCCCATCCCAGGATTAAGAGTACTAAGTGGCAGGGGAGATATTGGTTAAATATGAAGGAGTTTTAAAAGGAGGTAAGCATATACCTCACATAAAGTATATTCACATGGAAATTCTTACCGGGGTCCACCAAGCTGCTGGGGCTCCTAAAAACCATCTTGATGCATGTCCATGCATAATGTCTCAGACCCATGGTAACACAGTACCAGCTATGAGGAATTTAATAATGATAATTTATGATGTCACATATCATTTGATATTTATAAAAGCATTTAGGTTACATCATTTAACCCTTAAAACATCCTTGTGAGAGATATATGTAGCATCCCTATTTGTACAGAAGAAGAAACAAAGGCTTGAACAAATTCAGTGATTTGCTCAAAGTTTTACGAAAAGTCAAAACTCAAATCCAGATTAGTGGGATGGGTTTGTTTGACTGTTTGTAACAACCCATACCTCCTTGTCCAAATTCAAGGTTAAGTCTGAATTTAACTTACATTATATCTTTTTCTAACTGCATAAATAATTAGTTCATTTTAACTTACTGTGGATCTTCTGGGCTTCATGTCACAAGGAAGGGATATATCCAAATTATAAGCATTTCATCATGGAAGCCGCAAAGTACATAATAAGCCATATCCCGTATCAGTACAATGGAAGCTATTTGTGTAAAACAATACACATACTTCCTTGTCCTCAACCTCCAAAAAGAATCATTAATTTTATGTGTCCATTTGTTATCTCGTATGATGCATCAGTTGGGTAGTTCATGATGGGGGTCTTCCAAGCAAGTTATATCTAGATTTTCTATAGTAAGTACAGATCTGGAGAAGTTGGATGAAATTAATTTTTAGATTTCAAGCTAGTTTAGGGAATCCCAAATGTTTGCCAAGAGTTTAGCATGAGAGAATCTGTATCAAGTGGCCTGTGCTTCAGATACAGTTAATCTGAGTTAGAAATAATTCTCCTTCATAATGTTAGACTTCATGTCTCCTTGGAAATTTTCAGGAAACACAGTGTTTTAACTGTGACCTCAATAGCAAACACCGTGAGTGCCAGAGGGAGTCACATATGTAGTGGTATAAAACTAGTCATGTTTGTTTCTTTGTGATGACTTCTTTTTCGTAATTCCTCATTCTTCTCCTGTCTGTATTACATTCCTATGTCTTTGCCTTTTCTGGGTGGTGGTAGCCCTAAAGAAGTCCAGGTTTTAGGAGATCTGCAGAGACCTCCCCCCTAGTTAGAGTCCTGCCCTTCACTGAATCCTACTATGGGTTTTTTTCTCTGCATTCCCTCCATGACTGCCCTCACCCTGACCCTCACTCCAGTCTACTCACAGTTGGAAAGCAGTTCTTCAAAACACACAGAACACTGCAGCTTCTGTTACCTGTCTCTATAGGCAGCTTGCAATGAAACTGAGAGCCAATGGAAGAATTTTATTCTGAGTGTAAGTGCATGAGGGCTTCTCATCAACTCTGAGTTAGAATTCACTAAGTCTAATCATTGATGGTATATCTGCTTCTTGTTTTTCCTCTCTTGCTGTTACCTTTGGCAGTCATCAAAATTTAGAAGCACATCTTCTCATTCTTCTGAGAGAGTGAAGGAGAAAAATCATCTCTTTTGCTACTGTGCTGGTAACAGTGAAAAAAAAAAATTAAGAGAAGGAGCTGAAACAAAAACCAAAGTAACAACGTGTGGCTTATCCATGTCATCTGGGTGCCCTGAGTATCACTTGTCTGTTCACATATGACAGCATTTATCAATCTCTTTTTTTGCTTTTATTATTTTTAATTGACATAATGATTATACATATTTATGAGGTACAGTGTGATATTTCAAAGCATGTACAAAATGTGTAATGCTCAAATCATGGTAATTAGCATATCTGTCACCTCATTTATCATTTATGTTGGAAGCACTCAAAATCCACTCTTCCAGCTATATGAAAATACACAATAAATTGTTGTTATCCTACAGTGCTGTGAAACACTAACACTGATTCCTCCTATGTAGCTGTAATTTTGTATCCATTAACCAACTTCTGGCTATCTCCCCGACCCCACCACCCCATCAAAATTTCAATTGACAAATTTAAGAGATAAAATATAGTTTTTTTAAATTATTACATAGGCCCTTATCATATGACCCACATATTTTAGGTATTTAACTGCTTCTGGTTTTTAAATCTCAAATATTTTCATTTCATGAGAATATGGCTTTATTTACTCATGAAGCTCTCCTTATCATCCCACGCATACTTCTTATATAACACTCATTTTATCATTATCATGCTCATTTTAATATATGGTTTGAGAAAGGGATGCCAGTAACTTTTTTTTTTTGAGACGGAGTCTCGCTCTGTCACCCAGGCTGGAGTGCAGGGGCACCATCTCAGCTCACTGCAACCTCCGCCTCCCGGGTTCAATCAATTCTTCTGCCTCAGCCTCCCAAGTAGCTGGGATTACAGGTGTGTACCACCACGCCCAGCTAATTTTTGTATTTATTTAGTAGAGACGGGGTTTCACCATATTGGCCAGGCTGATCTCAAACTCCTGACCTCATGATCCACCCGCCTCAAAGTGCTGGAATAACAGGCATGAGCCACCGCGCCCGGCTAGCCACTAACATTTAATTTGTATATTACTATATACTATATATTAGTATATTACTATAATTAATATATTACTAAAAAAAACTGAAATCATCTAGGTTTGATTTCAGAATTGGCTACAGCTGGTAGATGACCATGAAAATGAAATCTTCACAAGAGACTGATGTCCTGCTATATTTTACAATTCAGCGTCGTGTGTTATGGAGACCTTTGCTGTTTAATTAATCAAAGGTTGTCATTTTAAATACCATCCTAGATAAAACAGTAAAGCTTACTTAAGATTTCCAAAAAAGACCTTGTCACCTTCAAGTTCTTCAGGTAAAAATAGTTTTACTGAGGCACTGAACTCACAGGGAAAGTGTTTTTCTGAAAAGGGTTAGAGCGATTACTAACATGGCACACTGATTTGTTATGAAATAATGTCTTACAGGGAATAGGATAGTAGGCATGATAGTGCTTAGTGGTTAATAGTTTTAAATAACAAATCATTTATTTCCTGATATTTCTATAGGGCCGCATCAGTTGTACTGGACGGCTAATGGTACAGGCTGTCAACCAAAGAGGTCGAAGTCCCCGGTCTCCCTCAGGCCATCCTCATGTCAGAAGGTATTTAACATGTTCCTTCCCATAAGTGTCGCTATTATTTTATTTATTACTATAAACTTAGTACTATTAGAATCATATAACCACAAGAGTAAACATAATTGGAAGACAGAATATGAATACAAACCTGAAGTGTGTGGCTCCTTGATTATTCTCCTTTGCAATGCAGAAAGGGAATAGGAACAAACATTTGCTGATGTGTGCTAAGCCCATTCAGATATACTATTAGTTTGTTAAATAGACATATTCTATAGACAAATAAATCAAGAATCAGCACTTTTAAATGGCATATGAAAATACTACTAAATGGTACACAAATGTTGGAAACCAAACTTCTCTAACCAACAGCTGTGTGAGTTGACCATTAAAAGCTATTGCCACTAGGTTTCTTAAAATCAGCTCATTTATTAATGTTCATTTTTCAGTCACTTAGTTCAAAACATAAGACCATTAGACTACAAATCTTGTAGGTAAGATTTGTCACATTTTAAATACTCAGATATCTGCTAGCAATAGAGATGCTTTCCATTCCTGGTAGTTCTGAGTCTATGCAAGGACATTGATGGAACAATGGTAGGCAGGGATAGAGAAAGGATATTACTTCTTAGTAACAAATTTGCACTTAAAGAAAAAAATACAGTAAGTCAACCATACTGTCAACTTGGCCTGTTTAGATATTTTACAGACAGAATATTCTCAAATAGTCCTGACTCTAAATTACAGGCTATAGGTGCGAATGCCTTTAGTGAAGAGAATACATAGTTAGCTCAGAGAGTAGGCAGGAAAACTGAGTAAGCATCAAACAAGTGGTGTGTCTACACCTCCTTGGTGTGACTGGACCCACAAAGACTTTTGTTCAACATTTGGAAGACAGTTCTGGCACCAGAGCATGTGCAGATTAACTTCATCATGACAATGCCTGTTCACAGGATGCTAGCCTGTATCTTTGAGTATAAACACCGCATATACAGTATTCAGTCCATTGTCTTGCGTTATTCTCTTTGCTTTTCTTTTTGTCCACAACACATTTAAGCCTTTCCATATATCAGTGGGTCCTGGAAAGCTTTTTCTCATGAATTAGATCTATACTTGGAGAAGGGTAAACTATATTAAAAAGCTAATAATTATTAGCCTAGTATACTTCTTTCATTTGTTCCACTCTTGCTTTTCCTAGTGAAGTGTTTTTAAACTTTTCTTATAGTGACTACAGACAGAATTTGTATTCAACATCTTTTAAGTCTTCCCTGCAATTACTTTCAACTGTATTCCTCTTAAAGGTTTCTCTGGCAACCTTTAAAAATGACAGAGATGCACAGAATCTGGGAGATTTGTACAATCTCATTTTTTAAAGCAAAAAATAATGCCTCTAGGCATATGGATAACTAATGCAAAAGAAAACTTGCCTAAAAATGTAATTTGTTTTCCTGCTTAATATAAAAAGGAATTTTAATTAAAAATATATTGAATTTTATAGGATCATCAGAACTTTTAATTTCCTACAAATTTGAAAATCACAGTGGAAAGTTCTAGTAACTTCTGTTGAAAAAGATTTGGTAATAAATGAGCAATAATGCTACTTTTCATAAAGGTTTAAAAACATTTAGGAAAAATGTTAATATATAATACCCCATTTTTTTTAATTTCCCCTTTTATGATTTATAGTACCCTGCAATTGGCAGATAATTAAATTTATAGTAAACTTCCAAATTAAGACTTTGCTTTTCTGATTTTTTAATGTGTAAATCGTAGATATAGGGATCAGATAAGGAAATCATATTATTAACCCATGCATTTTAAGAAAACAGATGACTAAAAGTCTATAAATAACTACTATCTGTATTTCTGTATGCCATCTTTCTTGTTTCAAGGCCTCGTTCTAGATCAAGGGACAGTGGAGACGAAAATGAACCAATTCAGGAGCGATTCTTCAGACCTCACTTCTTGCAGGCTCCTGGAGATCTGACTGTTCAAGAAGGAAAACTCTGCAGAATGGACTGCAAAGTAAGATTTTGTTATTGCTTGCATATCCTGTTGCCTCACTTATCTCTCACTTGCCATTTCTCTATAGTTCCTTTTGGGGAAATTACATAAAGTATAAAATGAGGGCTGCGCACAGTGGCTTACACCTTTAATCCCAGCACTTTAGAGGCCAAAGCCGGGTAGATCGCTTGATCCCAGAAGTTCAAGACCAGCCTGGGTAATATGCAGAAACCCATCTCTACCAAAAATACAAAAGTTAGCCAGGCATGGTGGCATGTGCCTATAGTCCCATCCACTTGGGAGGCTGAGTTGGAAGGACTGCTTGAGCCTGGGAGCTGAAGGCTGCAGTGAGCTGTGATCGAACCACTGAATTCCAGCCTGGCTGACAGAGCAAGACCCTGTCTCAAAAAATAAAATGATTCTAGCTTAAGGGGGAGAAAGTGAAATATGCTGGATATTTATATATTGTTTACTATGATTCTTTACTTTTAAATCTAAATTAAATATGTTCTTTACTCAGAACCCTACATGACATACTCTAGAAAGTCATCAGGAGTTTTATTTATCCCTTTAAATGTTGAAATAATAAATATGATAAATCTACCATGTCTTCATTCTTTTTTCATACAAATTTTGTATCCATATATCTACTCTGACTTTTATTCTTCCCATTTTCTAATTCTTCTTTTTTTTTTTTTTTTTGAGATGGAGTCTTGCTCTGTCACCCAGGCTGGACTGCAGTGGTGTAATCTTGGCTCACTGCAACCTCCACCTCCCGGGTCTCCTGCCTCAGCCTCCTGAGTAGCTGGGATTACAGGCATGCGCCACCATGCCCAGCTAATTTTTGTATTTTTAGTAGAGACAGGGTTTCACCATGTTGGTCAGGCTGGTCTCAAACTCCTGACTTCATGATCTGCCCACCTCAGCCTCCCTCCCAACGTGCTGGGATTACAGGTGTGAGCCACTGTGCCCAGCCCCCATTTTCTAATTCTAAGAGAGGTGAGGGTGACATCTTTCTTTCATCTGTTTTACAGCAGAGCTTTTTGTTTTTTTGAGACAGAGTCTCCCTCTGTCGCCCAGGCTAGAGTGCAGTGGCGTGATCTCGGCTCACTGCAACCTCCACCTCCCAGGTTCAAGTGTGATTCTCCTGCCTCAGCCTCCTGAGTAGCTAGAATTACAGGTGCGCGCCACCACAACCGGCTGATTTTTTGTATCTTTAGTACAGACGGGGTTTCACCATGTCGGCCAGGCTGGTCTCAAACTCCTGACCTCGTGATCCACCCGCCTCGGCCTTCCAAAGTGCTGGGATTACAGGCATGAGCCACTGCACCCGGCCTACAGCAAGGCTTTTTAACCCACGGTCCTTCGGTAGGCAGGCTTCATTAGGTGTTTGAACTCTGAAATTACCTACAAAATTATGTGTGTAAGATAATTTTCATCCATTTCTCAGAGGAGTCTAGGGAAAAAATGTTTAAGAAACACTGCTCTAAAATTTTTTGTTTGATTTCTTTTTTGCCCCACTATTTACTGATCTTAAATTTAGTTTAACTCTTAAATATGGATAAGGTTTTAAAAAGTTATTTGGGCTCCCTCTGCTGGTTTCTATGGGATATCAGAACAAAAATATAAGCTGCTTAGAGGATTTGGGCATTGTTTCTTCAGAAAGTAAATCTGGGATTGTAGAAATGTATAAAAAGAATAAATATAACAAAAATATTTTATTTCTCAGGATCATTTTTTACAGTATAAATACACAAATTGGGTTTCAGTCTATATATATATATATGAGTGTGTATTTACTTCATTTTTGGTCTATAATTAAGAATTATACAGTAGAGCTACCATATGATCCAGTTAATTCTACTAGTGCTTATATATCCAAGGAAAATGAAATCAGAGGCCGTGTGTCATGGTGCACACCTGTAATCCCAGCACTTTGGGAGGCTGAGGCAGGTGAATAACTTGAGGTCAAGAGTTTGAGGCCAGCCTGAACAACATGGTGAAACCCCATCTCTACTAAAAATACAAAAAGTAGCTAGGTGTGGTGGCACGCATCTGCAGTCCCAGCTACTCAGGAGGCTGAGGCAGGGGAATCACTTGAACCTGGGAGGCAGAGGTTGCACTAGGCTGAGATCGTGTCACTGCACTCCAACTTGGGCAACAGAACAAGACTCCCTGTCTCAAAAAAAAAAAGGATATTAGTAGCAATATCTACATTCCCATGTTCATTGCAGCACTATTCATAATAGCCAGGCTATGGGATCAACCTAAGTGTCAACAGATGAATGAATAAAGAAAATAGGAGATATATATACATACATAGACACACGGTGGAAAATTATAATCCTGTCATTGTGACAACATGGATGAACCTGGAGGACATAATGTTAAGTGAAATAGGCCAGGCACAGAAAGACAAATACTACAGGATCTCACTTACATGTGTAATCTAAAAAAGTTGAACTCATAGCAGAGAATAGAATGGTGATTACTAGGGGCTGGACGGGGAGAGGGAGAGTTGGGGAAATGTTAGCCAAAGCATATAAAATTTCAGTTTTAGACAGGAATAAGTTCAAGAGATCCATCGTACAACATGGTGGCTATAGTTAATAACAACGTACTGTATACTTGAAAATTGCTAAGAGTAGGTTTTGAGTGTTCTTACCACAAAAAAACATGTGAAGTCATACATATGTTAATAAGCTCAATTTAGTATTTCACAGCACATACATATTTCAAAGTATGTGCATAATTATATATAATTTTTATCAATTAAAAAATACTTTTAAAAATTCATACAGACCACTTGTAAAATGATGTTTTGTGTTAACCAGGAGAATTTTATTTTAAATAGATCATTAGATTATACCAAGGAATTATTAATTTTATGTATAAAATGGAATTGTGATTATATAAGAAAAGTCTTGTTTTTAGAAATGCATACTGAGCTATATGGGGGTAATAGTATATGAAATCTGAGATTTATTTTAAAATATAAAAAATAAGAGTGACTAAATGATGGGTATATAGACATTCACCATACTGTTACTTCTATTTTTAATCATATTTAAGAAAGAAATAATAGTACTGTCTTTCACGGGACTGGCACATAACTGTCCTTAAAACTCCTGCCATTAAAAGAATATTGGAAACAAAAAGTAAACTGCTTATTTATTTCACTATGATGATCTGACCTGGATAAAGAAAATGTGAAAAATCGGCCGGGCACAGTGGCTCACGCCTGTAATCCTAACACTTCGGGAGGCCGAGGCAGGTGGATCACCTGAGGTCAGGAGTCCGAGACCAGCCTGGCCAACATGGTGAAACCCCATCTCTACCAAAATACAAAAAAATCAGCCAGGCATGGTGGCAGGTGCCTGTAATCCCAGCTACTCAGGAGGCTGAGGCAAGAGAATTGCTTGAACCCGGGAGGCGGAGGTTGCAGTGAGCTGAGATTGTGCCCACTGCATTCCAGCCTGGGCGACGGAGCGAGACTCTATTTTTAAAAAAAAAAGTGAAAAATCTTGCCACATGTACAGCTAGATCAGGAAGAAAAAAACAAATCAGTGTATTTAAAGCTTTGAAAGGGGAAAAAGTCCTGAAGATAAGCCAAACACCAAATGCTAAAGCAGCGGTTTGCTTTTCCTCCAAAAAGCTCCCTCCCCTTTTAGCCCCTGAGGAACATTCCTAGACACTGATTATCCTTGACTGGTACTCAATTTTCGGGAAAATAACTAATTCCACTCCTATAGCAACAAGCATGCTCTTCTCTCCCCACTATGTCCATGTGCCCTAAGAGTAGAGATCTAGTTACATTGTGACCTGCCGGTGGGGACCTTCAGCTCCTGAGATCATGCTGTCTTTACTTAGCCAGGAGAATGGGTTAGAAAAAAGGTAGAAGGGGCATTCTCTTTGCCCCAGCATGAATAACTATCCACTGGGTAGGTTCACTGTGAATCACGTGGTTTGACAGTACCTGTGCTTTGGGCATCTCTCCTACTAAACATACTGTGGCTTCAGTCAGTAGATGGCTTATCTAGGATCTAACCTGGTAAAGTAGGAACAAGCAGTGCCGCTTCGTTTCTAGATGTGGGAATAAGGAGCCTGATCAAAGGTGTCCACTCCCTCTTCCTCCACACCACTTCTGATGACCTCCAAACAGGTCAAGCACTGTATATGGAGAGCTGGGGACAGCAAGTGGATAGATGGGAGAACACAGAGCCTAAGCATCTCAGAAGCCAAGCTGCCTAACTACTGCTGTTTGTTTCCAAAACCTCTTCATCCTTTTAACCAGTCATTTAAGTTGACTTTAAATGCCGTAGCCCTTTGCTACATGTGTGGTGGGAGGCATCCTGCAGGTAATATCAGTGAGTATCACGTAGCAGGAATGGAATTTGTGAGTCCTCTGGCTGATTCTGGCAAAGCTGGTTCTTCAGAAGAACTGTTTTGCAGTCTAAGTGACATATTTTTGTATATAACTTCCTACTAGTAAAGCTGGGGGCAGGGGGTAAAAAGGCCTTCCTTAACAGTGCATTTCTTCCGTTCAAAATCAAGGGCAAAACTAAAAAGCCGGCAGATGGCAACCATCCTGACCCTTTGCAGCACAACATGTTATTAGCAATTAAATGTGCTTTTATCTGATCTCTGGTCAACACAGCTGTCAAGGCCTCAAGATTTTATGATGTTTCCACTGTGATGGTAATTTGTTGAGATGGCTTTCTGGATAATTTCGTATTGCTCTTGTTACTCAGTTTCAAGGATTATAAAATAATAATAGCAGCCCTACGTGCTGACGAATGCATTCTCCATAACTACGGCTACTCCTTGATGAGAAGCTTTACAGTACTGTGTATAAATGCCAGCTGAGTATTTGTTATTGTTGAACATCTTTTTTCAAAAAAGCCCAGAGCCTGGTGCTGACATCATCCCATTAATCTCTATAGCCCTGGGCAAGGTAAGACAATGACCATAATTTTTTAAATCCCATCTCAGTCATCTCTAGGCTGCTCTGTAAGAATTGTTTAGATGTAAGCTGGTGAGTGCTCAGGAAGCCACTGAAAAGTTTTAAGCAGAAGAGTAACATGAGCTGATAGTAAAAGCCATCTCTTGGCTGGGTGCAGTGGCTCATGCCTGTAATCCTAGCACTTTGGGAGGCTGAGGCAGGCGGATCACCTGAGTTCAGGAGTTCAAGACTAGCCTGGCCAACATGGTGAAACCCTGTCTCCACTAAAAATACAAAAAATTAGCCTGGCGTAGTGGCAGGCACCTGTAATCCCAGCTACTCAGGAGGCTGAGACAGGAGAATCGCTTGAACCCGAGAGGTGGAGGCTGCAGTGAGCTGAGATTGTGCCATTGCACTCCAGCCTGGGCAACAAGAGTGAAACTGTCAAAAAAAAAAAAAAAAAAAAAAAGCCATCTCTTGTGCTACTGAAGGAGGAATTTATGCTGATCTCTTCGCTATCAGTGATTTCACTCTGTTTTAATACAAAAATTTACATGTGTTTCTTTTATGATTTAGGTCAGTGGGTTACCAACCCCAGATCTAAGCTGGCAACTGGATGGCAAGCCCATACGCCCTGACAGTGCTCACAAGATGCTGGTGCGTGAGAACGGGGTGCACTCTCTGATCATAGAGCCAGTCACGTCACGTGATGCCGGCATCTACACATGTATAGCCACCAACCGAGCAGGACAGAACTCATTCAGCCTGGAGCTTGTGGTTGCTGGTAGGCTCATCTGTGAATCCTTGCTCTCTGACAGAATGAACATCAGACTTACAAATGTAAACTAATTCTACATTACTAACCAATATGGAAAATACATCAAAGTATTGAAAAAGTAGATTGTATCATCAAAATAGCCAATGAGGACATGGTTATAAGGCCTAGCAAAACAGAAACAGAAATCTTTCATTTCTCCCACTAACCTGGCAAAGAGAGAAAAAGATTTCATTAGCTCTTTTGGGTCATTCGACCTCCTGTGTGTGCAGTGGCCCTCAGTGTTACACAGAGAAATAGTAACAGCAGTATGGAATCCAAGAACCAAATAATTTGCTTACATATATATACACACACATATATATGTATATATACACACACATACACCCCTAGTTTTTAAAACAACATTGTCATCTACCCTCAAAGTCATTGTCAAACTACACTCACATTTGCTTTTTCACTGATTATTCTGTAAAAGTGTTGTTACATGAAGTTTTATGCTTTGAGAAGCCTAAAAGGAAAACACATTTATGGAAAGGTTTTTATACCATCCTTAAGAGTTAGGTGTAAGTAAAGATTCTGATTACCTGATCTCTTTTAAGAAAGAACATAACAAAACATTGATTTCTTATACCTCTTTATGCAAAGTGCTTCATGTATGTTATGTATCAGTTGGCCCTCACATCAGCCTTATGAGATAATCACAGCAAATCTTCTCTGACTTTTACCAGGGTCCCACTTAGTAAGCTGATGATTGGATTTAACACAATCTGTTGATTCCTAGTGCTCTTCTAAACATAACTAAGTCACTGAGCTCTTTCAAGAAATAAAGCAGCAATGAGAATAAAACCCAGGAGGTCTTGAAAAAACTCTTGGATTATGATTCTGATAATGGCACCAAGATGTTTTCACATAAAAATGTGGTAAATATGTGGGCTGTGGTGCTACAGGTTAGCCATGCTTTCAAGTTTTGTACAAAGTACTCTATATTCTTACATGCTACGATTGATTTCATTCCTCTAACCTCAAACTAAAATTTCATTTTTCTGCTGTTAAATATGCCTTTTGATCATATTTGTCCTTTAGGACACAGACTCAGGGTCCAAAAGACACATAGATATCTCAGTATGCGTCAGTTAGCACTCCTGTCAGAAGATGGTGATGTACCATCACAGAAGTCAGAAGATGGTACATGGGGGTCAGATCTGATTGGGTCAGATCTGACCAGATGGTACTTGGGGTCAGATCTGATCCAGTCCCGGCTCTTGTCTATTTTACTAGTTGTGTGACACTTGGCAAATAGATATCTCTGTGACTTAGTTTCTCCATATATAAAATGGGAATATAATGCCTCACAGTGTTTTCCTAAGGATTAAATCATAAAAATGTGTATGAAGCTCTACATAACTAGTACCCTGCATAGCAATGCTCCAAAGTGGTAGATGTTATTCTTACTGATGAGTTGCTACGACAATAAGACTTATACATTTTATGTTCTTTGCAAAACTGGAGCCCCAGAAAGAATACAAAGTGAGCTTCTGTTCCTACTTCTCCCAGAATAGCCTAGGATGGACAACCATGTAAAATTCAATAAAAAATCCAACCTTCTAACTAACTTATGGTGTTGGAAAGTCTTAAGCATTGGAAAAATTCAGGTAGAATTTTCATCCTCTTTGAGTTCTTTCCTAGCTGCTTTGCTATGATATGTCTGTCATTCCAGGTGAGGGAGTAGTGGTGGAAAAGGAATGCATTCTCAGATTCATTGTTGGCAGTTCAAAAGAAAATAAGTAAACCTTATTCATCCTCTGAAGTAGTTTCCACCACTACTACAGTTGATCCAAGAAAACAATTTCCCATTGGATGGTAATATTCAGAGTGTTATTAACAATCAGTCCCTGATTTTTTCAGAATAAGTACTAAAGTTGTCTTTTTTTTTAATGGGTTCCTTCCTTCAAGGTTATAATAAAGCTTTTTTATAGCCTCCTTCAAAGAATACAAATTGGAATTTGTAATTTATAGGATATACATTCCTAGTTTACAGGTAACTATTTAAAGCTGCCAAATTTAGATAAAGATGCCTCCCCTTTAAATTGCCCCCTTTAAATTCTATGGCATGTCTCACTTAAGAGTTACAAATGTTCAGAATCTTCATGGCAAAGATCACAAATGGCAGTGAGGGAATCTAAGTGGTCAAATTCCTGGAACTACTTGTCCTCAGCACCACTAGGTGGCAGTAGTTGGTTGAGGCTGTGAATGATCGGTAACATAATTAGTAGTGAAGCCATCACAGATGCTAGCAATGACTTAGGAGTCTCCCACAGCACGTCAGACAGGCATTCTGTGGAGCAGATGGTCAGTGGACAGTGTGAGCCTATCAGACTTGAATTAATTGAGGAAATAAATGAGCGGAATGAAGTATACAAACCTTTGCTTGGTAAAAGAATAATTTGGAGAGGGGACTAGCATCTTACCACCTGGAGTAAAAAATGGTATCATAAAAGATCTATTCAAGCAATATTCCAAAAGGCTTCTGAATTCTTTCTAGTGCTCCTTTTGTATATCATTGATAGAGAATTCATCTCATGTTTTCTTAGCTAAAGAAGCACACAAACCCCCTGTGTTTATTGAGAAGCTCCAAAACACAGGAGTTGCTGATGGGTACCCAGTACGGCTGGAATGTCGTGTATTGGGAGTGCCACCACCTCAGATATTTTGGAAGAAAGAAAATGAATCACTCACTCACAGCACTGACCGAGTGAGGTAAGAATGCACAATGAGAACCTGATCCATAACTGTTCAGTCCTACTTATGTATCAAAAGATACATTTTATATAGCATGGAAATCTGTGTAAAAGCCATGCTGTCGATGAAATCAAAGACAACAACCATGCTTTACCCAATGTAGGATTAAGCTTTTAGAAGGAAGCTATAATGGTATTTGATCTAATGGTGATTTCTTAAAAGTGTTTATCTTTGTGTCTAAAAGAAAAGATGAATTCATTTGCTTTAGTGGTAAAAGACTATTCAGTGGTTTTTGTAAAGGCAGATCTTCAACTAGGAATTAAGTACACAGAGGTATTCAACTCTTGACGTCTGTTCTTTCTCCCATTAACTTTAATGGGGCTAGTAGTCTCTACAGAATAAGTATGACCCTATTATCAGCTACTTGCACAATTCTGTTTCTAATGATCTAATTAAAAATGATGCTTCATGTCCAAAGCCATTTTTTTAAAATTTAGAACCCTAATGACTTTATCCTTTTCTCCAGCATGCACCAGGACAACCATGGCTACATCTGCCTGCTCATTCAGGGAGCCACAAAAGAAGATGCTGGGTGGTATACTGTGTCAGCCAAGAATGAAGCAGGGATTGTGTCCTGTACTGCCAGGCTGGACGTTTACAGTGAGTGCCACTTCATCTCATTTCATTGCATTTACTCATTGAATTATGAAAAATTAGACATCTAGACAGCAAATCACATTACTCTTTATAATCTTATAAACAACTATTGTGTTTTGTCAAAAATTCATATTGCTCTCTCTCTTTCTATTTATAGTTTCTCGACATTAATAGCGAACCACACCAGGAAAACAAATACCCAAGTATCATTCAGGAACTTTGAATTATTAGCAAAATATGCATGTTGATTTCTCTTACGTTGGCTAGTTAGTTGTGGCTTCATTACTCAAGCATCCTTAGGAGTTAACAGTAGGCAAAGGCATAACCATGTTTTTCACATGTTCTTGTTACTGTGTTCTGCAAATGACTGCCTTTTAACACTTCTTCCTATATTCTATTGCAGTGTCCTAATGCACTCTAAACGTGTGTTCCATTGATCCTGGAATGTGTACTTTTGTGGCTTAGTGCTTTTCTCATTAATATATCTTAAGCAGCCAGCAGTAGACTTGTGTTTGTATATGTATATTTGTGTATATGCATCCTAAATTTTAAATTTTTCCTATTGAATTTACAGTCTAGTACAATAAACATTATGTGATCCATTGACATAAAAAAAAAAAAAACTAGAAAAAAGAATTTATTTCAGATTTTGCCTCTTCTTGAAATAACTTTGGTGAGGGTCATCAAAAAATGTGTGGCCTCAACCTTCCCTACTGTACAATTCCTTTCAGTTGATTGATTAGTGTTAAAGCATCCACATCCAGCAGATTTCCTAAGTGCTATAATTATTGAAGAAAAAATATTTTTTAAAAGGAGGGGGGGATAAGAATTAGGAAGCTTATCAGCTATTCCAAAGGATTCCCTGTGCTGCAGTGTTTACTTAAAAAAAAAAAAAGATAAACTACTCTTGACCTTTGTAATCTAGCTGCTTTATTCCCACTACCCTGTATAGACAGTAAATCTGCAACATTTGAATAAAATGCAACAGTGTTCCTAAATTTTCCATGTTTCTACCATGGATGTGTTCAGTTTTCACAGAGTATGTGCCTGGCATATATCTAGACATTCTGTATTTTTTTGAAATATCTAAAGGCTCTCCAAGTATATCTTAATTAAAAATCTTTATTTACTCTTTTTCTTTGTAGCCCAGTGGCATCAGCAGTCACAGAGCACCAAGCCAAAAAAAGTGCGGCCCTCAGCCAGTCGCTATGCAGCACTTTCGGACCAGGGACTAGACATCAAAGCAGCGTTCCAACCTGAAGCCAACCCATCTCACCTGACACTGAATACTGCCTTGGTAGAAAGTGAGGACCTGTAATCCGGCATTCTTGTTAAAGCTGAAACACTGAAACAGCCATTGCCTTGACCAACATATTCCTTTGTCACATTATGTAAAAGGCAGAAACATACCTTTGACTATAAGAAATAAAAAAAAAAAAAAACACCAAAATAATATTTTTCTTACTTGATATACCAAACTTAGAGTTCAAGTAGATAATGCTAATATAAACATACACATTGCACAGAAAATTCACATTTACTGTCAATTTAAAACTTTGGAACTGCTTTGGTTAAAGTGATCTAAAATGCCAAAATACTAAAGGAAATCAATTATTCATAGGTAACTACAATTTGTATTATCTACAAGTGCCTTTAAACACAAGATATAGGTGCTGTGTAGCCTGATAGTGTGAAATGTTTAATGAGGCAGTTGTACCACAAACAATACTACAATGATTCTGAAGCACAGTGTATTCAGACAGATAAGTGAACCAAGTGCAATATGTAAGGATGAAAAAAGAAGAAATGACAAAGAAATCCAAGTAAATGCCTTGTCTTTGCAAATGTTTTTATATTAAATCATAAGGAAGGAACTACTTGCCTTAAATTTTATTAATATCAAAAGAGTTTTCTAACAAGGTTAATACCTTAGTTCTTAACTTTTTTTTTCTTTATGTGTTGTGTTTTCATGCTACCTTGGTAGGAAACTTATTTACAAACCATATTAAAAGGCTAATTTAAATATAAATAATATAAAGTGCTCTGAATAAAGCAGAAATATATTACAGTTCATTCCACAAAAAGCATCCAAACGAGACCCAAATGACCAAGGCATACATAGTATTTGGAGGAATCAGAGGTTTGGAAGGAGTAGGAAGGAGAATGAAGGAAAATGCAACCAGCACAATTATAGTGTGTTCATTTAGATAAAAGTTAAAGGCGCAGGAGAGGTAGCAAAGGCCAGGCTTTTCTTTGGTTTTCTTCAAACATAAGTGAAAAAAGCACTGCCATTCACAAGTCAAGGAACCTAGGGCCAGCTGGAAGTGTGGAGCACATATGCTGTGGAGATTGCAGTGTGTCTGAAGTTTGTGTAGTAATGGAAGATTTTAGGTATGTAGAGCAAGTTGAAAATGGATTGAGACTGCATGGTGGCATAAATGAGAATTGCCTATAGGATCTAGTCTACTTGAAGGAAGTGGAGACATAAGGAGAGACAAAAACAGGTTTGTGCCATAAAGTATTTTTTCGAAGGCACCAAGATGTGGTGAATGAAAATTATTAGTTCACTTCCCAGCTGCCATGAAACTGCCTTAAGAAGGTGCTGGATTCCAAGGTTTATAAAGGTATCTCGGTAAAGACTGCTTTTTGAATGCATATGATTTTGCATCAGCTAGACTGAGTTGATTCTGACCAGACTTGATGGTTTTAAGTCGGAACCAATAAATTTTAAAAGGAGAAAAAATAAGTTGACCTAGTAGTTTAAAATATGAAGCTTTAATGGTACTTTGCTATGAAAAGAAAACACTGTATTCCTTACGCAAAACACATGTATCTTTCATTATTTATAATAAGTGGCCTCTCTTAGCTCAGTTACTCAATTCATACGTAGTATTTTTTAAAGTAATTTTATATCTGTGTACCACCACATGTATTTCATATTACTGTTTCACATGTACAGCTTTCTACTTCTTTGTAAGAACACCAACCAACCAAGGTTTAAGTGAGTAATAGGCTTGAGCACCGGGTGGCAGATGTTCTATGCAGTGTGGTTCAAGTTTCTTTAACCACACTTCAATGCATTGCTAATATGGAATTTAAGATACCATACACAGTCTCTCATGGACCTATCTCTATTGTAGAATTATGACTTATGTCTTACTTGCCAAATTGTTCTGAATGTGACTTTTTTTGCTGATTTGCTGGGTTTGGGATTAACTAGCATTATTTTGCCACCTTTATATTGTATTTATAAAAAAAAAAAAAGTACTATCATACTACTTTGGATTGTTGTGCTGGTGTAATGTGGATTTAACATCAATAAATATTTGACAAATAATAGTTGCAGTTTTGTGAAGCAAAATATTCAGTTTTAGTTTTCTATTGCTGCCATAACAATTAGCATAAACTTTGATGTTTGAGGCTTCAGCATCACTCATTTATTACTCACAGTTCTGTAAATCAAGTTCAGGCAGGATGTAGCTGGGTTCTCTGTTCAGGATCTTATAAAGCTAAAGTCATTGTATCAGCTGGACTGTATTCTCATCTGGAGCTCAAGATCCTCTTCGAAATTCAAGTGGTTGTGATAGCTCTGTGCAAATGTAGAAGAAACGTCTCATTTAGTCCCTCAGCCAGGAGCTGTTCTCAGCTCCTAAAGGCCATCTGTATTCCTTGCCATGTAGCCCACTCCATCTTCAGGGTTAGTAGTGAGAATCTTCTTCACCTCAGATCCCTCTCACACTTTCTCTTGCGTCAAAGGCCCAGTCCCTTTTAAATTATGTCAGGCCCATCCAGATCATCTCCCTTTCTTAAAGTCACCTGACTTGGGGAACCTTAATTACATCTGCAAATTCCTTCAAAGCAGCAGCTAGATTGCCATTTGATTGGATAACTGAGAGAAGGTTTGTATACACCAGATGGGGATATTGGGGGCCATCTTAGAATTCTGCCTGCCACAGCAGTGTACTGTAGGTGTGCATGTAAATACATATGAGTGCCATGACATACAAGGATACATAAAATACAGCAAGATGATATAAATTAAAAGTGAGGGGAAAAAGGAAGAAAATAAGTATAAATGGAACAAGGAATGAGATTATACACACACCCATATTCATATATACATATAGCATTAATATCTACATAGTTACAAAAGATGGAAAATATATTTGGGCCTAGGCTTTCCTACTACGGGAAAGAGAAAGCTGGTCACTTATGTAACTCACAGCCTCCATAAGGTAAAAATATTTTATCTTTTATATAAGCAATATAATGGAGCTTTGAGGATACATTTGAATACATCTGAATTAGACTAAATTGTGTATTTCACATTGTCTTCTGTACCCCATGACTTGCTATGTAGTTTACAAGATTCATTATATATTTTAATGCTGAATTTGTCCTTGATTTTCCCTTTTATGAACGTGTAACATGTAACATGACAATCCCCTTGGATTATAGCTAGAATCTACTGTATCATCCTACTGTAAATTTAGTTGGACTCCTTTAAATTATAGAAATACAACTTCTATATTATGGTGGTAAGGAACTTGAGTATTGGAGTTGGCCAGCCAGGATTTGAATCCTAGCTATTTTGATCGTGTGTGACCCATAAGCAGTTACTTTACCTCCCCAAGCCTCCGTTTCCTTATTTGGAAAATGGAGATTAAAACAGTACCCCTCCTCTCTGTGCTGCTGTGAAGATTATATGGGATGATAATTTTGACATGGTACCTGGCACACAGTAAGAGCTCAATAAATTTCAGCTATTATTTTCGTTTAGTTGAAAACTAAAATTTCAATTACAAAATGTGCACACATCCAACAAAATTACACAGATGGTTAAAATTTGTGAACTTGGATGGGAAAAAAATTACCCCCTAGCTGAAATTTAGAATTTCCCTCAATTATGAATGTAGGCAACAAAACACAACAATATAAAATACCTGGGACTGTCCTGGTAGCAATTATATTACAAATATTGAAATATCTTAAAATCCATCTAAATTCAGCATTACTTCAAAATTATGGCAGTTGTTAGAGTTACCAATAGATGTTGTAATTTATAGGCATTTGTATTATAAATTTGTTTTTAATACTTTGATAATTACTTAAAAATAATTTTTTTCCTGTGTGTTTTATGCCTCATGAACATTATTTTGAGAAGGGATCCAGATGATTTACTAGAGGGTCAAAAAGGCATATGGCACAAAAAAAATTAAGAACCAGGCCCCACAGAAACTTAAATATGTAGAAAAGGATAAAAAATTTGAGGAAAGCCTAATTTGCCATTACTAGAAGAAGGAACAAAACTGATTAATTCATACAATGAAATATTACTATTCAGAGTTAAAGGTGAAGAAATGGATTTATTTCTATTAGCATGGATAAATATGAAAAACAGCATTTGACAAGGAAGGGAAGTTACATAAGAGTGATGTCAGCAAGATGGCTGGCTAGAGGTTCCTGGCATTCATCCCCCGAAGAAAGGACCAAGAAATGAACAAACAGTTAACATTCAACTGAAGTGTCAATGGAAGAGCACTGGAGTACAGTGGGGGAGTGGAGAGGTACCATCGGTCACTGAAAGTCCAGAAGGCAGCATGGAGACACCTTGTCTCTGCTGCCCCATGCCCCTGCACCCCCCAACCCTGACTGGCCTGGAGTCAAGAGAAGAAACTTTCCTTTGCTGGGAAAACGTAAGCAGAGCCCCATCAGCCCCCATTACCACTGCAAACACCTACAATCCTTAGTACAGGAGAATTCCACAAGCCTGAACTGACTTTAGAGAGCCCCTGTGGATTTGCACAGCTGCATTCCTCTGGATTAGGAACATGAGATATGTACTCTCCATCCCTCAGGTGCCTGCTATGGGGCCCAGTAGCAAATACACCTCTCCAGCCCCATGGCTCTGTCATTCCACCAAGCCCACATGGGTGGCTGCAATGCCACAACGCTGGAGGCTCAGAACCTGGGCCCGGGACTGGCTGTGACTCTGGTCCTGCATAGCAGGAAAACCAACCATCACTGCCTGCACTTCCAGGCAGAGAAACAGTCTGGCAAATTCTCCCAAAGCATACATAACTACCCTTGAGCTGGCCAAACTGGGCCCCTGGTAGAACAACTACCAGCCTACCTCCTAACCCTGAGAAATAGCCCAATGCCCCCTACCTCCATGGACATGCCCCCAGGCCTACCCAGTGGACCTGTGCCCAGGCTAGGGCATGAGAAACAGTCCAGTAGGCCCAATCCCAGCATACATGTCCCTAGACGTTCCCAGCAGCCCTGTGCCCATGCCCAGGGCCTGAGAAACAGCTTGGGAGACTCACTTCCAGTGGACATACCCCTAAGCCAGCTGAGCAGTCACATGACCATGTCCAGGGCCTAAGAAAGAGCCCCATTGGCTCAGCCCCTATGGACATACCCCCTGGCTGGCTGAGAGGCACACCACTGTTCGAAGTCCAAGAAACAGCCTACTTGGCCCACCTCTGGCAGACACACTCCCAGGCCAAATGAGCATGCCTGTATCCAGGGCCTGAGAAACATCCCTGTGGCCCCAATCCCAGCAAGCAAGACCCCAAGTTGGTTGACACTGTGCACGCACATGCCTCCAATTTGAGAAACAGTCCAGTGAGCCCACCCCAGCAAAGGTGCACCACCACTGCTACAAATCCTCACAGTCTAGACCACTGGGCACTTACAAACATCAGCAGAGTGGATTACAGCTGAAGAATCTGCACAGACACTACACTACTGCATCCAACTAGAACCAAAGCCAACACACCCCACCTAACTGACACTCTAAGATCCACCAATACAAATAAGTCTTTCCCTACAAAACCTTTCATCAAATTGGAAGAGGTGACTGTTCTACCAGATGCGTAGAAGACAACATCAAGGAATATATCAAACATGAAAAAACAAGAAGCCATGATACCTCCAAAAGAACACAATAATGCTCCAGTAACACACCTGAATCATAAGGAAATACATGAAATGCCATAAAAAGAATTGAAAATAATAATCTTAATGAATCTCAGTGAGGTAAAGAGAATATAGCTAAACAGTTCAATGAAATCAGGAAAATTAATATAATTTGTATGAGAAATGTCACAAAAGAAGCTTAAAAACAACCCAAAACAGAAATCTTAGAGGTGTTGAGGAATCTCAATAGAATAAAGAATAAAAAATGCAATCAGAGCTTCAACAACAGATTAGACGAAAGCAGGGGGAAAAGAAATTTCTGAACTTGGAGGTAAGGCCTTTTGAAAATAACTCATGCAGCACCAAAAAAAAAAAAAGGAATAAAGAAAGCCTACAGAATGTATGGGACACTATTAAGTGGCCAAATATTTACGTTTTGGAACTCCAGATGGAGAAGAGAAGGAAAAAGGTATAAAAAACAGATTTAATGAAATCATAGCAAAAACTTCCCAAGTTTTGGGAAAGAGATGAACATCTAGATCTAAGAAGCTTAAAGTCCCCAAAGAGATTCAACCTAAACAGGTCATCGCTGAGGCATATTATAGTCAAATTATCAAAAGTCAAATACAAAGAAAGAATTCTAACAACAGCAAGAGAAAAATGTCAAGTCACGTATAAGGGAATACCCATTAGGCCAACAGCAGATATCTTAGCAGAATCTTTATGGGCCAGGAAAAAAAGAAAAAATATATTCAACGTACTAAAAGAAAAATATTGTTAGTAAAGCATATTGTTTTAATATTCTTTATTAAATATAAGCAAAGCTATTCCTCAGAAATGAAGGAAAATAAAGTCTTTTTCAGATAAGCAAAAACTAAGGGAAGACTAGATTAGCCTTACAAGAAACACTCAAGAGAGTTTTAGATCTGTTTTCATCACCACCATGATGAAAACAAATGAAATCATAAAATTCACTGGTAGAGGTGATACAAAAAGAGAAAGAGAAAGAAATCAAACCTTATCACTACAGAAAACCACAAAGCCACAAAAATAAACAATAAGGAGGATTAAAGAGAAAGGAATATACAACCTGAAAACCATCAATACAACAACAGGAGTAAATTCTCACCTAGCAATAAATAACCTTGAATGTAAACAAATTAAATTCCCCAATTAAAAGACATTGAATGAATAAAAAAACCATGCAACTATATGCTGCCAAATAAAAACTCACCTCACCTGTAAAAGACACATAAAGACTCAAAGTGAAGGATGGAAAAAAATAATCAATGCAAACAGAAACAAAAAGTGAGCAGGAATAGCTATTCTTATATCAGATAATACAGGCTATTTAAGTAAAAAGTGATAGAGACAAAGAAGGGCATTATATAATAATAAAGGTATCAATTCAGCAAGAA